TCCCAAAACCACCTCAGAAAACTGTAATTCACTTATCAACAATACCCTCTATATACCAGGATTATAAAAAAACAAAAAAATCTTAATCTTGTCTAGCCAAAACAAGTGCTAAGTTCGGTGAGATAGCTAAATAAAAAGGCAGTGGTAAATAACACATTCCAAAACAAGTAATACATATATATATAGAGGAATGGAGACACATCTTGTCTATATATCATAGTACATGGGATACTGGTCAATATGACCTATTAATTATAAATTGTTAATTTGCCTAGTGTTAAGACTGTAATCCTTATGACTTTAATACCCTACCCTACCCTACCCTACCCTACCTTACCCTACCCTACCCCACTTTATTTATTTCACCATACCTTACTAAACACTACTCGCCCTATCTTAACGTACCATATCCTACTCTGTCATGTCATGCTACACCATACTATTTTATGACCTGCCTTATCTTAATAATCAAAAAACACTTACCCAAAGTTTCATTCTCTGCCATTTTTATAGTAAACCACACTTTACCAAGTAAGGTTCAGTAAGCAACACGCTATTGAGTAGGTTCCTGGTACACGTTACTGAGTAGACACTGTGAAACAATGTCCTCCGGCTGTCTTTAAAGACACTTTTCGTAACTCGGACTTGTCAATTGAATCAAATGCCTTCGGGGCATTTCTTCGCTTTTTGAGACGAAATTTGATCTAAAATCAGTTAATTTGGCCGTGCCTGTCATTCATTTTACAACTCCTTCCTCAATATTTTGATTTCCAAAGACAAATTTGACGACTGAAAGCAACGTACAATGCACTTGGTTTGGCAAGTACACTATGTTGTTATTGATACTTTACTTTTTAAATTTTAACTTTAAAAAATTTAAAAAAAGCTGAATTTGGTCAAAAAAGCTATTAAGAACCTAAACTGTAGAGTTCTGCAAATGCTGGGGCACATTGGTGCACAATGCCAAAATTCATGTTTCCGTGCTGGGACCATTTTGAAAGACAAATGAAACGTTTTAAACAGAAAAGATTTTACCTTATTGTGTAGTTAAAGTGTCAAACTTAGATTAACGTTACTTTTTTGCTTATACACTCTATATATGTTATACTTTTTATAGTAAAGTTTAACTTTCCCCTGTATATTATCCTTTCCCTCTTTATATTAGATGCTGACATAAAGAACCCGCCATACTTTTCCTGCAATTTCCTGCAAAAGGTGGCGGGTTCTTTGTATCGGCACCTAATATTATCCCTCTCCTCTTATTACCATTCTTCACAAAACTCCAATCGATTTAATATCAAGTTTAATTTTCATTTAATAAGAAACACATTCTGTTGATCATAAACAATATAATGGGAAGGGGGTATGAAAGTCCATGAATATACAACCTGTTACGATAAAAATCTTTACGAAAAAAGTTCACCGGGATTCAGAAGAAACGTTAAGAAAAATCGAGGAATCTGAAGAGTTACAATCAGTGCTGAAGAGTACATATTACTATTGGATTTAAGGCGAAATGACACAATTTTTGGGAAAACTTCAATGATGACATATTTTATGAACATAATAGTAAGGATGACATATTTTCTATAAACAATAGTTATGATGACATATTTTATAGACACTATGTTCAAAATGACACATTATCTAGACACAAAGTCTATCTCTATAAAAATGACATCAATATAAAGCTAAAGCCCAAAAATCACATCACTTGCGAGAGAGCATAGCCAAAGAAGAGACGATAATAGGGGACGAGAGCAAGATTGGCCCAGAAACAAAATGACAATAAAACAATCTTATGTACATGACTTCACCGGGGTACGATTGTTTGAAAGAGTGCTACAAGACGTTACGATTAAATGATATGCATTAAAAAATACCTAAACTTTCGAAAAACTACGCCTGAGTATGGTTATTCTAGGACGTGGAAAAGGGTGGAAAAGTTACAGTAATCGAGGTTACGGTAAAAGAGAAAAAGAGATTACGGTAAAAGGGGAAAAACGGTAAAAGTTACGGTAACCCATTATGATGACATCAGTTACCGTAGACAAGCAAATTTTAAAAAAAGTTACAGTAGCCTATCAAATGATGACTAAAGTTACAGTAACCTATCAAATGATGACTAAAGTTACAGTAACCTATCAAATGATGACTAAAGTTACAGTAACCTATCAAATGATGATTAAAGTTACAGTAACCAATCAAATAATAACAAAGGTTACAGTAACTTAAAACTACAGTAACCATCCAAAAAGACAAAAATAGTTACAGTAACCTATACTAAAGTAAAAAAAATTCTACCGTAACCCAATAAAACACAAAAAAAAATTACAGTAACCAAAGAAAACTACAAAAAAAGTTACAGCAATCTTGAAGGGACAAGGCGGGGTAGAGAGCACGGCCCAGTCCAACCCAAGCTCAGGCCGTCCATCCGAAGATGGCGAACCGTAATGACATGCCTCGAGGGGGCATGGAGCGGATCGGACAGCCGGCTTCGTGAATAAGGGATGCTAGCGGGTTTGCCTGGGGGGATAATCAAGCTAAAGTCTTATTTTAGTCGACAATGGCGCAGCGCGTTCTTTGCATGGTGTTCAACATATTATTATCGATTGAAACTGAATTCAATTTTTTGACCGGGACAATGACATTTGAGTGATAAGGAGGAGAATGAAAAGGGAGAGAAGTTAAAACTTAAAAATTTAAGTTATGTAGGGGAAGGGGGGCTTAAAAATAAAAAAAATTGGGGTAAGCCTAGTACATTATCAACATTTTAGGTATAAAACGTACTGACTGGCAGGGCAGAAATCATTTTTTAGTAGGGGAAGTTAACGCTGGGTATAAAAGTCTATTTAAAATTGTCACAAACAGGGTTTTAGAGCGTCAAAATTTTAAAAATTTAAAAAATCCTAAAAAAATTACTAAAAAATTTTAAAAATAAAGAATGAATAACTAAAAAATGACTTATAGTACGTGTACAAGCAATTTTCATACTGTAAAGTATCTATATTTGGCGTTTTTAGCACTTAGCAAGTATTTAAAAAAGTCTTGTCGTCGAATAACATTGTTTTGTAATGTAAAAAACGACAAAACTTTTTTTAACACTCTATGGTATTAAGCTGTTCAAATAATTAAGTGCCCTATCACAAAACAAAATTTTATGACTAGAGAGCACATAATTATTTGAACAGACGAATATTATAAAAAATACTTTATAGTAGGTCTTTGTACCGTATTAAAAACATACTGTAATATAGATACCAGTACTACGATACATGCTGTACAGTACTACAAGCTACGCATTGAAGATAAGACAGGACCGGGTGGGGCTCTAATATTTCCATGAAATATTTTGTCAAAAAACCGGATGCATTGGGCGTGATATACGAAAAGAAATGGCCAATCATTTACGAATCTACTACGGGAACTTACTATAGCGGGCGTCTCTCTTTGACTTAAGGTAAAGTAGATGAAGTTAGGCTTAAAATGTGAAAAAGTTAAAAATTTTGAAAAATTAAAATTTAAAAAAATCGAAATTAGAAAAAGCACTGAATTGTGATAACCGGGATTTCTAAACAGATATTCTTAAAATAAGTGGAATACAGTCGACGGGACACTTAAAGACATTATACCAAGTTGTTCAAAAAGTTCTGAGCCATCTAACCCAACAAATTTGCTTTGAAAGGTAGCTCATAATTAATTGAACAGCCTAATATAAAGATTAGTGATACAAAAAAGATACGAAAACATACGACAAAATAAGAAAAACATACGATAACATACGACAAGGTAAAAAAAGATACGACAAAGTAAAAAAAATACGAACCGAGTCACCATAGTAAAAGATTCTCAAGGTCCACGAATATTACCGGGCTACAGAGCGAAATGAATGTACAAATGGACTGGACTAGAGTCGAGTTTAGATCAAACAGAATGCTACAGTAAGAACAAATTTCTAACAATCTAGCGCAACTAACAAGTACGATTTCAAGGTCTATACTACAGGTTTTCCTAGCTTAAATGGGTGTCAAAGGATGAGGTTATTTACAAAGAAGGGGTACGGTAGGTTTTGAAGGGTGGTAGAGGTACTAAAGATCAATTTTTGAAAATTTTAGCAAACTCAAGTTACAGTAATTTTGCTACAGCAAAATACAGCAATATTACAAAACTTCAAGCTAAAGTTACAGTATACCATCAAAATGTCATACTGTTACAGCATAACACCAAGACGTCATACTGTAAAAAGTATCTACTAAACAAACAAAAAATTCCAAAAAAATGTTACAGTGATCCCTGAACACCATAAAACCACCGTACTCCCCATTAAAAGACCTTTTTGAAATCAACAATATGCTAAAGTTACAATATTAATATAAGGTTCTCTATGAAGGACGTTGCACTAACATTACAGTGTTTAACAGCGAGGTTACGCGGCTACAGTAGCCATGAAAAAGCATTTTGATTTTAGAATAAATGAAGAAAGACATGAACAATGTAAAGTCTCTAAATATTTTGTTAAGGTTGATTAAGGCTTAGAGTTGGGGGGTGGTGGTGCAAAAAGTAGTACTAGACGGCGTGGTAACAAAATTTTTTGTACTTTAATACTGTTTAGTACTAAAAAATGTTTTTGAAACCAAAATAAAAATGGTACTAAAAAGTGATCAGCGGTACCAGTACCAATAGTACCAAAAATTTTTAGTACCATGGTACTTGCTATTACCAAAAAATCAAAAATAGTACCAAAATTATAATAGTCCAAAAACTCATTAATAGTACCAACAGTACTACTAGTACCAAAAATTTTAAAGTACCAAAAACCAACTAGTGCCAAAAAACGGTGCTACAAGAAGTACGAAGAGAAGTTAGGAGGGGGCGGTTGAAAGAACGGTGGATTCGAGTTTTAAAGAAGTTGGGTGTGTGTGGGTTTCAGAAGCTCCTGATGATGAAAAGTTGAAAGAACGATGGATTATTAGTATTAATATATGTTTTTAAATACGACTTCACAGGTTTTGGTGTTCTTCCTTCACCTGAACCGCATCCTGCATCACTTTCTGCAGCGAGTGCACCAACTCCGACGAATCGTCCAGCTCGTCCTCATCGTGATGAAAGTCGGCGTTGGGGCCGTTCGGGTTGGCACCGTTCATGTTCAAGGCCTAGAAATTTTACAGTGGGTTTAGAGGGTTCTATTTTGGCGTTTTACTATCAGATATAATATTACAAAATCAGCATTTCTTCAGAAATAAAAAAATTTTAAAAAATTTGACCTTGATCAATATAATACATAAGTTGAAAAACAAAAGACATCCGTATTTTACAAAAAAACTTTAATAACAAATTTGAAACTCACATGAAGCCAGTCGAGTACCATTTTGTTGGTCTGTGCCACATTCGGTGGTAGACTGCTCGAGGGTGTGGTGCCCCCAGGCAACGAGACTGGTGCCTTGGAAAGCGCTAACAACGAATTGGCTTCCGCGATTGGAGCATGCGATTTGATTGGTGTAGCTGAAAAATATACAGTATTTTTGAAATTAAAATTTAAAATTTTTTTTCAAAATTCGATACAAATTTAAATTTTTTAAAATTTTTTTCAATTTTTAAATATTTTTTTGATTTTCCAGCGAGAAATAAGAGAAAAAAATTTATATTAGGCTGTTCAAAAACTTTTGAGCCACTTTCAAAGCAAATTTTCACCGCTAAATAGCTCAGAATTATTTGAACAACCTAATATTATCTTCTCCGCCTTTTTTAAATCTTGGGATAGAATCTGATTTACCGGTCGATTTTTGGACGTGTTTCAAAATTTTTTTTTATTAATTTTTCAAAAAACCTACATCTCTTGAATCCATCAGACTTGTTGTTGACTGAAGACGAGTTACAACCGTGCATTACCACGCATTTCCTCATGTGCTTCTCTAAGGTTGAATGCACACTGAAAGGCATCTTGCAGATGGTGCAGTTGAACACTTCCTGAAACATTTTTGTCGTTTTTTAGGTAACAAATAACGTTTTATATCATTTTCTTTGTGTTGAAACTATTTTTTGTTACCTTTTTAAAGTCCAAAAAACTTACCTTGCCCTGTTGCCCATGAGTTCGCATATGTCTGGTCAGTTTACTACTCTGAGCACATGCATACGGACACAAGTTGCACTTGTACGGCTTCTCCCCAGTATGACTTCGCAGGTGCACGATCAGATTGCTTCGATTCGTAAACACCTTCTGACAGTAGTCACATCGGTCCTTCCTCGCCTTCGAATCCCTTCGTGCAGCCGGCTCAGCCAGTTCGTCGTCCACAACAATCAGATTGTTCTCGTCGTCCTCCAGAAGCCCATCACCGCCGCCCGTAGTGGTGGAGTGGACGGCCGGTGAGGTCAATGCTGAACTGACATTGATGGCCGAACAAGAGTTGCGGCTGGGTGTCATTAGACGAGGCTGTTTGTTGGGGGATGGTCCTCCGGCACTGAACGAGTTGGCGTGAGGTGAGCCTGTAGATGGTGTAGCTGTCCGACGCCGAGGAGATCCCGACTCCAATGCTGAAGTTGTGGCGGCAGCGGCAGCCGCAATAGCAGCTTCCACCGTTGGGGTAGGGGTATCAACATTGGGCAGAGTAGAGACAGGCATGGTGGTAGAAGGCATGGATGTTGAAGTAGAGAACGATGACAGCTGGTTGTTTGATGCCAAATTCGATGCGATTCCGTTTAACAAGAACGAAGCAGCGTTGCTAACACCATTCAGATTGGGTGTTGTAGTAGGTGTAGGTGTCTCCATCTGATTCAAACTGTTCAACAAAGACATGGCATTCGGGTTACTGTAGTATTCCTGCATTGATGACAAGTGTTGTAAGAAGGGGTTCTGCACATTACTCGACCTTTGTTGCTGCTGTTGTAACGCATTCAACACCGAAGACAGTAACGGTGTAGTCGACTGAGTCTGTTGTCCAACAATATTGGCCAGCAACGACTGGGTATTCAGAAGGCTGTTGGAGACAGAAGTCGATGTCTGACTGTTGGCACGTTCAGCACATTCCTTCAGTCGTTCAGTGCAAAATGTGTTCAGATTGAATGCACTTCGGCTTTGGATCGGCTTTGTAGCGGCTTTTGGCTTCGGCGTGCTACTGGCTACGGCTTGAGGTCGTGCAATGTAGGTGGTTTCTGCTTTGACAAGAGGGTCAACGTTCTCGCTGAAGGAGTTGCCAGAGGGTGTTTCTTCAGCAACTTTGATGTCGTGAGCTGAGGAAGCATGTTGTAGTAGGGACCAGATGTCTTGGCACTTCTTTTTGCACACACGGCAGGTTGTTGAGGTGGCGGCTTGGACTATAAGATTGATTTTTAAATTTTGAAATGATTTTTTTTATTTTTAAAATATTTTTTTTTTTACTTTTAAATTACAATTTTGATATTTTATGTCATCACACAACCGTAGAACCCTAAATCAACCCCCCTATCAGAGACAATGCATTTCCTTGTTATGTATGCGATTGCATGTTTAAAACCATGTCATGAATGTTTGTTTTTCTTAATATTTTTGCTTTTTTTGTTGTTTGGCTAGCCTTTATTGACTTTTCTTCTGATTTCGCGTTTGTTTTTTGCTATCAACATATTAGGACACGGAGTCGTCTGGCCAAATGTGACCATCTTCCGACGGCACAGACGTCACGGGAAGGAGGAAGAAGAAGGATTTGGTTACAGCAGGGAGTTTATATCTTAGACATCGTCTCTTCTCTGGGACAGGAAATCATTTTTGAGGTAGGGAAGGTCTCTGAGATAGGGAACACAATAATTAAGACAGAAATTTTTGAGTAGTAAGAAAAGTGAAGATACGGTAGAAAGTTACAGTAAGACGCAGAAAAAATAAAGTTCAAGTCAAGCTGGTAATTTTAGTCCAGGCCTAAGAGAATAGAGAGTAAAAGCCAAATTTTTTCAAAATTTTTTGATCAACCACGTTCAACTTTTTTTCAAAAATTTTTTTTTCCTAAAAGAACCTCCAGATACAAGATAAATACCAAAAGATACTGTAAAATGATGACAAAACCAAATGTTTTTCATTTCTTATTTTAGCTTCCTTCCAAAAAAAACTTAAAAGACCAAGACCTTCAAAGACTTGCCCACCATCTGCCGCTTCAATTCCGCTTCTCAAAACGTGATTTCAACAAAAAATGCGCGAAATTTTGGCGCCAATATTCCGCATCTTGAAGATGAAAAATTGGCGCGAAATTCACGCCAGAAAAGCACATTTGTTACGTTATGCGAGCACGGCCATTATCTCCGGCTGAAAAGGGAAACCAATCCGAAAGAGGAGCCGGGCGGGTCAGCGACGAAACTTCGACCGCCGTGATCCGCAAAACAACAAAATAAAATGGCAGGGGAGAGAAGTGAATGGGGGAGAAGGCGGAGAACGTGAACAGAGATAGAGGATGTTGTAGATACAAAAGGAGTGTGTTGAGACACGGAGAGAGTGCAGAGATGAAAAGGGTTAAAGTTGACAAAAATAAAGAAATGAGCCGATTTGAGAACAGTCATTGAAACGTGAGTTTGGAGTTGAAAGAGGGTCAACATTTTTTGACCGGTGAAGTTAAAATAGTCAAAAATGTTTCAAAATCGACCGGTAAATCAGATTTGATCACAAGACCCGGAATGGCTGCCAGAAGATAATACTAGGTAGACAGAACAAAAAGAATGCATTATAGCGGGTTGTTCAAATAATTCTGAGCCCCTTAACACTGAAAATGTGCTGTGAGAAAGAACACAGAATTATTTGAACAACCCAATAATAAGAAAATAAAATCTTTAAAAAAAGTTTACCAAGACAAGAACATTTCCAAAAAAAAGTTGAAGAACGACCACTTTTGTCAGAAAATACTCAAAATCAAACAAACAACAAGTTGTCATAGGAAGCCGGACCAAACAAAACCGGAGGACCATTCGACCAAAGACGACGCCAAAATCGACCGACGTTTGTTTGCCAATCAAAGAGACTTTTGTAGGGTCGACGTTTCGGAGAGAACGTTACACCGTGAGAGCGTGGCGGGCCCCCAACGTTTGCTCAGCCGTTTAACACCGCTCCCAATCCCCCCCCCCTCTCAAGCCCACGTAATTTCTTAAATAACCACCGGGTCGGCCGGTCATGCGCAATATTACAAAACACTTTAAATTCGTTTTAAAAAAGTATTCGCGTTTTAAGATGCATCGCTTCCAGAATCGCACATTCCACTAGTATATGATGGCGGGAAACGTAACGTGAGGCTTGACACTTTGTAAAATATTTGTAGAATTTTGAAGGAAAATAAACAATTTTTGGGAATTTGTAACAATATTACAGTTTAATGGGTCAATTACTTTTCGAAAGTTTAAAAAATGTAGCTATATATCAACTTTGAGTCACTATAAACCAAACTTTAAGTAACAAATTATTAAAAAAGTCAAAATAAAGCTAAAATTCTAAAAACAACTGCCCAATACGTGTCATTTTTAATTCAAAAACAACTTAATTTTTAATCTTTAAGACTAAATTTAAATTTTAGTTAAAAAGAAAACTTAAAATTTATTTTTAAACTTTAAAATGCCTTTTTAAATCCAGAAATTAAAGCTAAAACCCCCTAAAGCAACATACTTGTACTCTCCGTCTCAGTCCCAACTTCTTTGCCGGGCAGGTTGGCGGACAACGACCTCATTAACGGCAGCTGATTGTCAGTGGAATTGGCTTGTTTCCTCCTTCCTCTCGACGCACCAAACATGTTATTGTCCTCCTTCTTCGAGCAGAATGTCACTTTATGTTCGATGAACTCGGAAAAGTTGGACAACTGGAACTCTTGTCGACAGATCCCACAAACGATCAGATCTCGACTCTCCTGACTCACTGACACATCAGTGTCAAGTCGTTGACGATACTGTTCGGCGGGCGGTGAGTTGTCCATCTCTTCATCAACATCATCGTCCTCAACGTCGCCTTCGTCCTCTTCTTCCACATCGTCCTCCTCGGCCATCCCAGCTTCCTCGTCTTCATCGTGCTCTTCGTTGTTTGAATTCGAGCTAGTTCTCCGCCTGCTCAGCGTTCGCCGCCGCGCTGAAACTTCGCTCATCTCTGAGGCTGAACTTTCTGATGGTGAAGCTACGCCGTTCCGTGAGTCGGCTACAGCAGCACGTTGTTTTTCGGTTTTGTTGGCGTCCGTGTCCATGTCTGCGTTGGATTCAACTCCGCTGTCTGATGAGGCCATCGGCGTGCCTGAATTTTTAAAGTTAAAATTTTTAAATTTTAATTTTAAAACAAAAATTTTAAAAATTAAGTTATAAAATAAAAAAAACATTACTCAAAATAAGTTTTAGGTAACAAAAGATGAAGTTATAAGCCATCATAGGGCACTTAAGTAATAAAAATCCATCTTTTTTTCCCTATTTTACAATAACAAAGTAACAAAAAATAAAAATTTTATCTAAAACAACCTCCCCACTAGTCAGAACTTTCCAAACCTCAGGTCAAAGACCCTACTGTAACCTCACATAACCTCAAACTCTCAAAATGAAATCGAGAAAACAAGTGAAAGTGAGCGAAAAGAGAAACACGGCGACAGAACGTTGGGGAGACGAGTGGTCGTTCCTCACTCACCTGTGGGTTTGTCCGAATTGGAAGGCCCGGCCGCGGTGGAGGAGGCGGGCGTTTCGCGCATCGACTGGTCGGGTTTCTTGACCTCGTCAACTTCGCCAACTCCGCTGTCCTTTTTCAGGCGTTTCGGCGCACGGTGCACGCTGTTCACCGTACTTTTCGGCGCACGTTGTTGTTGAAGGGTGTTGACGGTCCATCGTGATGCCGTTGACGAGTTGCCGCTCGTCGCAGTTGTGGCTGCGGCTGTGGCAGTGCTACTCATTCGACGTGGTCCCGAGGTGTGGATCTCGAAGACTGGTCGTTCACCGGGTTAGAGTAAGGCAATTGAATTAAAGGTTTTGGGGGGTTTCTGTAGTTAGTGGTGCGGTGGTTGTTACGTCTCTTCTATAGACATCAGAAACGAGCTACTGAAGAAGGTCAAACCGGCCCACCAAAGAGTTTTGGGAATTCGAAAAACTGAAATTGTGGTTGATAAAGTTGAATTTGATGATTTTTTCGCGATATTATGTTACGAAACGCCTCGCAATGCAATAAAAATTTTAAAAAATCAAATTTAAAATTAAAAAAAGCAACGAAAATCACCAAAAATATTTAAAAAAACCTACGATAATATAACAAAAAATTTTAAAAAATCGTATTTTAGAAAAATTTAAAGTTCCAAAACTTTTGTATTACTATGTCATTATGTCACAATGGTCCAAGTTACCACGGAAAAAATAAAACCGCAAAACACAAGTTAAGAGACCAGTAGTCAACACCCGACTCCCCCCCCTTGTACCCTCCCCCCTTCTCCGTTAAGAGTTTGGCTCGCAATAGCCGACAGATTCCCACAAAAACACCCAAACACCGAGCCCAACAACAACAAAAACGGAACAGCGAAATCGCAGACATCAATTTGTGCAAGTGATATTGATGGTCAACAACATGAACGGCATGGTAATTTACGGCCATAACAAAAAACACGCCATAATAGAAGCTCATAAATGTGGCAGCCGGCCGCTCGGCCTCAAGAACAAGAAGAGAATGAACGGCCCGTGACGTGCTCCTCACGGTGGCCCCCGTCCACACCGCCGAAGGGACACTGTAGACCACCGTGCGAGACGGCCGTGGACAGTCCGGCAACGGTAAGGAGCGGAACGATTAGAGGAAAAGAAGGAATTTCTTAGAAGACAACGTTTTCAAAGAATGATAACGACTTATAGCACAACGTTCTAAAGATCTGAGAACGTTGTGCTAAAAATGATAACGTTGTGCTACAATAACGTTTCAGATAGAAGACCATAAAGAAGACAACCGTTGCGTTAAATCAACGCTAAACCATCAAAACGTTGCAGAAACAGCACGTTATGCTACAAGAACGTTACATAAAACACGTCATGACAAAAGAACGTTGCGCCGTGCCGCGACCAGAACGTTGCACTGTTCCCCGCACCTATATGTCTGTCTGAATGTGTGTTTCACCTTTTTGTGTGCATGTTCTTCTACTTTTTTCGGGCGACGCTGGCCGCTTCCTTCGGGCCGGGCCCGGTCCGTTCCTCCTCCTCCTCGCTTCTTTCATATTTTTTTGTTTTTTGTGTGTGCCAAGTGTTGAGCCGGCCAGTTTCACACACCGAGAGATAGCCAGAGGCCGTGTGGAAATGCCGCAACGTCCGCCGAATATTTTTTGCCGACGGCTCGCGGCCCTAACCAAACTTGTGGCCTGTTTCCTTTTTTCTTCGTTGTATAGGCGCGCCGACCAAAAATATATAAATCCAAAGCAACCAAATAGCCATTCGGCCGGCGAGGACCGGCCAGGAACAAAATAGCCGAAAAGGGAGAGACGAACTAACCGAAAATGGAGAAACGGCTGAAAACGGTCGGTCGGCGGTCGAGGAATAACGAAAAAGCAAGAAACAGCTGAGGAAGGACGTCCGAAAACGGAGAAACGGCCGAAAAGGTCGGCCAAACCACGAGGAATAACGAAAAAACAAGAAACGACCAAAAAAACAGAGCGGCCAGAATCCGGACTGTGGGTGGAAGTGCCGTCGGATTGGCGTGTTGTGTTTGTGTGTGTTTTTTCTGATGACCGAACAAAATTGGATGGAACGATGAAAATAAAAACGCATGACCGCCAAATGGACTCTGAATGTCAGAAACATAAAACGGAACGCGGCCCATAATGCATTTTCAATTTGAAGGATTCGAACGGATGGAAAGGTTGGAACGGAACTGGATTTAAACTGCCAGATTTTAAAATTAAAAAAAATATGTTTAAAACCGTTTTTTAATTCATTTTTTTAAATTTTTAAAATTCAATATTTAAAAAAATTTAATTTCAAATCCAAAATCATAATACCAAAATCAACTACCTGAACGGCCGAATCCGAAGAAAGTGGAACGCCAAAGACAAACACACGCAAAGAAACAGAAAATTGGACGGAACGGTGAGAACCCGAGATTCAAGTGTCCGGAAAATCTTCTTCTTCTCTCATATATTTTTTGTCGAGGACCTGGACCCTGTCCTTCAGCCCCGTAGGCACACACACTGATGCACACAAAGCTCACAGGAAAGGTTATTTGCGCAAGCGCCGAGCCTTTGGCCCTCACGCAAACACACGTCGTTCCCCGCCGGGCGTTCTCCAACCCCTCGGGCTTGACTTTGACCCCGCCTGCGTGTTTGATGCGAACTCATCGTTCTTAAGCCTAACTCTGGGTCAAGAACGGTGGGTTAAAAAATACCCTCTCCTATGCTTTTCATGCCTCAAGAATCACCCCTGCCTTCCCCGTACTTTCCTTACCCTAAAAATTAACACCACCCCTCCCGAACCTTAGAAATGAAATAACTGCCCCCACCACGAACCCCGGCCCCCTTCCTGAACTCTAACCCTCTCTATTTTGCGGTTGTTTGTCGAACGTCCATAAAGAACGACGAGAAAATAAAGAAAACGGACAAACACGATCATGCTTTAAACCGACCGGCAGCACATCCGGGGGAACGGCCAAGTTCCACTCGGCGAACGGCTTCAACATAATGCGAAGATAATGAAATAAAACAAGAAAAAAGCGGTGACAAAACATGTGATACCCATTGAACCTGGATTTCAGGTCATTGATAAGGTCATATAGCGAAAGATAGTACTAGTAAGATATGCTGAATAGTACTAGCTAGTACTGGAAAGTACTAACAAGATATGGTGAGTAGTACTAGATAGAACTAGCGAAATATGCTGACTAGTACAAGCCAAGTTTTTGTACTAAACTCAATATAATGAAAGCCTTTATAGTACTCTTTTGATGTAGTATAAATCACATCACCAAAATCTTTACTTATCAAGCCTATCACTACTATATTATCATAGATACAGTTCAAAACCCTACAAAAACCATACCCACCAGTACCACAACCCCCACTACTATATAAACCAAACTCTCAATCAAACTCTCAATTCCACGTCGTTTTTATATAAATACCGACCACACCTCGAACGTTTTCCCTCAAAAAAAAGACCATGAAGTTGTTGCGCAACGCCAGGACCTCTGCCACACCTGAATGAAGACAAACAAACATGATTCGCCTCTCCATGGGGTTCCAATCGTTCCCCTCGGGCGGGTCGAGAGGCGATCGTTCCAAGACCTCCACCACGTCCCCCCCCTTCTGTTAATAGGCGACGGAAACACGTCGGTCGCGCAACTTTCGACCCCCACCATCAAGGAATCCAGAAAATGAAATTCGCGCGAATCGAAGGTCGTTCACGTTACGAGCAAATGGCCGTGAAGAAGTAAATGAGCGTACAAGTTTCGAGGGGTGGTTGAAAAAAGAGCAAGTGGTAGTATGGTCATTTTGGATTAAAAAATTAATTTTTGGGGTATGTTTAAGCCTTCGATTATGAAAAAAAGCCTTTACAATGCCTACAAGGCACATACACACGGCCCTAAAACACCGTCACCAAGATCCGCGGCCCTAAAACACCGTCGTTCACGTTATTAAATCGTTCACGTCCTTTACAGCTCGTGCCCAAACCATCCCCCGCCATTTTACAACCCTTTAGCCAAGTCCTTTCTCATCCCTCTTTCCCAATCTCAATCCTAGTCCCTACCCTCGTCCCACCCCTACCCTTCTTCCCCAAACCCCTACCCTCTTCCCAACCCCTACCCTCCTCCCAACCCCTACCCTCTTCCCAACACCTACCCTCTTCCCAACCCCCTACCCTCTTCCCCAACCACAACATTAACCCCTTCCCCAACCCCCCACCCTCCCTCCTCGAGCACAAATCATCCGCATCAGGTGCAGAAACGGTCGTTAGGAAGACAAAACGTCCACTGATAGTCCGGTTGTCCCTTCGCTGGGCCCACGGAGAGGGCTCGTTTCGAACGAAAGCAAAAAACACGTCAAAAAAGCGAAAAATACAAAAAATTGGAGTGGAAGGGGTCGAGAGGGCGCCCTCCGGGCAGCCGAGATAACCTCACAGAAGGTGGACGTAGGGTGAGGAACGATGACAATGCTATAGCGTTCCCAACCCGTGGTTTTGCTAAAGAATAGGTTGTTGCAGGTAAGGGAACAAAAGTTGAAAAGATGCCAGTATATTTGAGATATACATCACTGAGGCTTTAAAATTGAAAATTTAGACATAAAATAGGCTTAAAATGTAAGCTTATACCTAAAAACCTATTTATTAAAATGTCAAAAAGTCTTGTGGTTTTTTTGTAATGAAAACCTTAATAAATTGACGACAAAACTTTTTAGCCCTTTAATAAATTAATATACTGTACTTTTTATTAAAAATTACAAAGATCTACCTAATATCGTAAAAAATCACTATCTGCGCCCTATATAATATACAGTACGACCTTTCATCAAAAAATGGCCACATTATTACGCAAAAATGGCCGAGGTTCCCATTCCGTTCTAAAACCGCCCTTTTATGTAAGAGAAAGCGAATTTGCATAAACAAATGTGTCCGTTTCCCGCATGAAAATAACGAATACAACTTCTGAATCAGAGCAATCCCCAACATTCATCGTTATTCTGTCGCTCTTGAACGTTAGGATCACAATCTCTATGTCGTCCTTACCATAACATGCATCAGTCAAATATAACTATCACCCCTTCCCTATATTGTCCTCAACATAAGATTCATAACTCAAATGAAACAATCAACCCCTTCCCTATACCATCCTCAATATAAAACTCACCCCCTAAACAAAACAATCTCCCTAACCCCTACACCATTCCCAACACAACAGTCACCCCTCAAACAGAACGATCACCCCCCCCTCTCCTCC